CAGTAGATGTTGGTTATATTTATGGTGAGATGCAGGACACACAGCGGAGATCCTGAATAGCGCTCATGGAGGTTTGGATTAATAGCGCACTCTCTTTATAAATAAAGTGACTCCAGGATCTCAAATGCCAGATGAGACCTTCTTGATCAGCCAAGCTTTCCAGCAGCTTTCGCCTGTACCCTTCCTGCTACAGATAGTCTGATCACTGACCCCTAACGTTACTTAGTACATAACTCTGAACGGGTGGGATTACCACTGATCGTGCATGAAAATGTCTCATGTTGTCTCCAGACGCCGAATTCTCCACCATCACACTCTCCAATCCTTCTCTTCTGTCCGATAGAACTATGACAGCGATCCGTCTGAATAAGTCACCTAAACTATCAGTATACTTAAAACAGACACTATGTAGATTTGTAGGTTATTTGATTCTGTATTTTTTTTTTTAATTTGACAATTTTTATTTTTCATGTATAGAAAACATAAGGGGGTACAGAAAATAAAAGGGGGGTGGGGGGGTTACAGGCATAGGTATAGCTTGGGTTGCATTGTATCACAGAGTGTTGCGGAGTCACCCCTTCGGGGTGTTATACCTCCAGTGAGCGGATATTTTATTGAGAGAGCATCGCTACAGAACCTGAAAGTAATGTCAGGTGTGTGGTCGGTCATATGCCTCGTTGTGTGGTTCTGTATGGTATAATTTGGGATGGGGGCTGTAGGAGGTGTGAGTTTTTATTGGGGGGAGGGAAGTATGAGGGGGGGGGGTGTTGCTCCACTTTATGTTGAACTAAGCTCAAAATAGTCCGTCAGGTTCGCTCCTCGGGTTCATTCCTGTTGTGCCTATGTCTAACCTGTGTCTTTTAACCATCCTCCCTGTGTCTCCGTGTGTTCTCACCTCCGTCCTTTAGTCTGTGGATCTCCTGGCCCAGGCCTCCCATACCTCCCGCTTCCAGGTCTGGCTTTTGGTCATGGGAACTGTGTGCATCTCGTATCTCCCCACTTGTGAGACATATTTAATCAGTTCCTGCATGGTCGCTGTGGACGTGGAAAGCCAGTTTTTAGCGATGTGTGGCAGCTATTTGAATGTGGTATATCAAATATTTGTCGACTGGGGGGTATTGGTCTTTGAACATAAACAGTAGAAGGGAGGCTGGGGAGTTGGGGACTGCAATGTTTGTATGTGTACGGATGAGGGAAAGAACCTCTTTCCAATAGCTTTGTATGATGTTGCAACCCCACCAAATGTGCAGGAATGTTCCTGTGTCCCTATGGCAGCGCCAACATATGTCTGGTTGTGATGGCAATATCTTAGCCAGGCGGGTGGGGACCATGTACCATCTGTATGCAAGTTTGCGCATGAGTTCCATGTGAGCTGCTCAGGCTGACCGGCCTTTGTAGCTGTTGATGGCTCGAAGCCAAGTGTCATCGGGAATTCGGCGGCCTATATCTGCTTCCCATGCTTTAACCCACAGGAGATGGCGGAGTTCCGTGTTAGTGTTCAGGAGCGTGTAAATGGTGGATATGGGTCGCTTGGAATCAGGCGCTTTTCAAAGTGTGTGAGGAGGCGTGTTTGGGGGTCCAGCACTGGGGTCTTCATGTGTGCGAGCCACCAGGATCTCAATTGTCTATAGGAGAAGTGTGCTATGTGCGAGACAGTGTATCGTGTGCTTAGTTCCTGAAATGGCAGCAGTGCTCCCTTGTTTTGCAAGTCATGCAAGTGTGTAACCCCATATCTATTCCATAGTTTGAAATTGAACTCAGGGATCCCCTCTGCCAGCGCCCTGAGGGTCGTGGCCATCGAGACATCGTGTGTGGTCCTATATAGGGTTGTCGTGCCTACCCTGGGTTTTTTGCCGTTCGATATGAACATATTGATTTGCTTTTGCAGCGCCTGGAAGTAACGGGTAGGGGCCGTCAGTGGGACTGTCCTGAATAGGTATTGCAGTCTAGGTAATATCACCATTTTTACTGCAGTTATGCGTCCTGACCAGGAGATGTATTTATTTCTCCATTGTTTGAGACTTTTCTCTATTTCTTTACTTAGTTTGACATAGTTGAGGTCGTAAAGTTTCGAGAGATGGTAGGGAGTCTAACAAGGTAAGCTAGTCTGTCCTCCAGTCGTACGCATATTCCTTCTCACCTAAAAAGGTGTAGGTGTCCTCCATCCTCACCCCATAGCTTGTGTTTTCGTGAGATTAAGCCTATAATATGAACATCTGCTGTAGGAATGCAGTATGTCGTGAAATGCTGTCAGTGATGTTTTGGGGTCGGTAATGATGAGGAGAATGTCATCGGCGAAGAGGTTTCATTTCATTTCCCTACCGTTTATGCGCACCACTTGTATACTGTTGTTATCTCTGATCAGAGCCGCCAGTGGCTCCAGCGTCAGGATATACAGTATGGGTGACAGGGGACACCCCTGCCTTGTCCCGTTAGTTATGCAGAAGCCTGCGTTGAATATATGACCTGAAGCCTACAATGAATATTCTGGCCATGGGCTTATCGTAGAGCGCCTTACCCACCACCAGGAATTGTGGGGGGAAATTAAATTTTTCGAGGACCGCTTGGAGGAACGACCAATGCAGGCGGTCAAAAGCCTTTTCGGCATCTAGTGAGAGGAGTATGTTATTGGTTGACAATCGGTGCATCCCCTGTAGAAGGGCGAGCACTTTGCGTGTCCTGTCTGCCCCCTGTCTCCCACTAATGAAGCCTACTTGGTCAGAGTGGATCAAGGTGGGGAGGATACATTTTAGCCTATTCGCATAAACTTTCGCCATTATTTTAATGTCTGCATTTAGCAGGGAGATGGGTCGGAAATTGGTGCATTTCGTAGGAGGCATGCCTGGTTTAGGCAGTGTGGCTACGTTGGCCTCCAGCATTTCTTGTGGAAGCATACTTTCAGCAGTAGCTGTTGCAAATAGTTTTGCCATCTGGGGGGAAAAGGATGGAGGCAAACCTTTTGTAATACAGATTGGGGAAGCCATCAGGACCCGGTGATTTGTGTGGAGGTAAGGTCGCTATCACCTGTTCTATCTCTTGTGGCATAACTGTGTCTGTCAGTAGGTGGGCTTGGTCGTCCGTCAGATTAGGGAGGGTCACCTGATCTAAGAATTGGGAAATTCCTGCTGGTGTGGGCTGGTGTATCACCGCATCATCCCGTAGGTTATATAACTTACTGTAGAACTGTGCAAAGGTGTTGCATATATCTTGGGGTTTGATAACTCTTTTGCCCTCGTCATTCACTATGTACGCTATCTTCGACTGCGCGTTAGCTGTTCTCAATCTATTGGCGAGTAAAGCACTGGCTTTGTCACCCATGGCGTACTGTTTTGCTTTTAGCGTATGTAGAGTGCGCGCCGCGCGCGTGATGTAGATATTGTTAAGCTCTCTCTGGGTTTGCTCAATGTGGGTCCCTCTGGCAGCGGTCGGGTTCAGGAATTGGTGGGCAGTAAGGTCTCGCAGAGTGCGGAGGAGGGATAAGGTTTTAGTTTGGGTCCTTTTCTTGATGTAGGAGGTCCTGCAAATAAAAATCCCACGCAAGCTTTGTGCGCTATCCACGTGGAGGAGATGTGTGTTTCAGGGATATCGTTAGTGGTAAAGTATTGTAAGAGTTCCCCCTCTGCTTCCTGCCTAAAGGAGTCATCTGATAGTAACTCCGTGTTAAGCCTCCATGGAAATTGTCTTGTAGGACTACGGTGACAGGGCTATGGTCTGACCAAACTATGTCTCCCATGTCGCACGTCTGGATCTGGCTGAGGGAGGAGCTCTGAACTAGTGTCACATCGATCCTAGAGTAGGATCTATGGGCTTTGGAATAATAAGAATAGCATCGGTCAGAGGGGTGTAGTGTGCGCCAACTGTCATAGAAGTTGAATTGCAGCAGCAATTTTGTCAGGGCTTTGCAGTGAGGCTTAAGCGTCCATTGTTGAGTGGAGTGAGTCTATGTGGATGAGTCCAGTCTAGGGACAAGGACATGGTTGAGTCACCACAAATCACGGTCGTTCCCCTCTGTATTGCTGTCACCTTAAGGTAATATCTTATGTAAAAGGTTACATTGGTGCTCATTCGGAGAGTACACATTAACCAAAGTATATGTTACATTGTTCAGCAAACATATTAAAATGAGGTGTCTGCCGTGTGTATCAGATATTTCCTGTCAAAGGCCACTGACTTGTGAATGTATATGGATACTCCCCTGGATTTAGTGGCGAAGGCAGAGTGGTATTGAATGGGGAAGTATTTCACGCTGAATTTGGGTATACAGGCTTTAGGAAAGTGTGTCTCATGGAGACATAAGATGTCTGCGGCATACTTTTTGGCTTCATTCAGAAGCATGTGCCATTTGTGGGGCATGTTAAGCCCACGCACATTATGGAGTAGATCTTCAGGGTGGTTTATGAGATTGATGCTTATTCTGCCAGAGTGGCGCAGTGGGTTGGATCCACGGGGGTCCGCCTCTGGGCAGTATTTCGAAAGCTAGGACGGGATGCTTGTGGCTATGGGACCTCAGGTGGCTTGTGTCGCCAACTGACTCAGTGGGGGCTCCGGTTTGAGCTGTCAGTACGGCATTTGATTGATTCTCGTATGGCATTATGGAGCAAAAAGCGGGGGAGGGGGCGGGGGAAATAAAAACCAGGGGAACAAAATCAACATAAGTATATACAGTACAGACCTCAATAGGTACAAGATACAGGCAAGCTGTACGTGTGGGGGGTAGAGGCAAAGATGGTGTTAGGTAGAAGGCCTGAGCCGGCATAAATTTGGCATTGCGGCTACACTGTAGGTGGGGGACATAGTGTGTACACGTAATACATCGACAACAGTAGCAATTGAGGATAAACATTTTAACTGCCGCACTGCACTGCTAACGTATGGCACACATTAGGGACAAAAAATATCAGCATAGTAAGTATACAACAGAAGCTTAATGCATTGTGTGGGGCAGAAGCCTCACTCAGCGTGCGTGTAGGTAGTGCACATGGAATACTTGCGGACAGCACTCAAGCTTGGGACCAGTCCCTTTCAAGGCGTTTTGGAGATGGTGTGTCTGCTGTGCTCTCAGCTGGGCACAAATTCCACCGTTGCAGTAGGTGAAACCCCTCTTCTACCGACAGGAGCACTGTGGTGGCGCCATTGTGCATGACGAGCAGGCGGATGGGGAATCCCCAACGATAAGTTATACGGTGCTCTCTGAGGACCTCAGTGACTTTTTGGAATGTCTTCCTGTGTCGCAGTGTGGCAGCCGAGATGTCCGCGAAATCTCGCACTTTGGAGAATTCTGGTGGTAAGTCCTTTGCTGTGCGGCTACTGCGGAGGATCAGCTCCTTCACATGAAAATAATGAGCCTTGAGTAGAGTGTCCCTAGGTAATGAAGCAGTGATGTGTTTGGGCTTTGGGACCCTATGTAGACAGTCCAGCAGTAAAATGTCCACTGGGATGTCCGGTAGTAAGGCCTTGAAGAAGCCATTGACAAAGGCAGGTAGGTCTGCTTCCAGCACCTCCTCAGGAATGCCGCAGAGTCTCTGGTTGCTCCGGCGTGATCTGTCCTCGAGGGGCATGAGCTTCACCTCATATTTGGCGAGTTGGGTTTCCAGGGCTTGGATTCTGTCTACGGCCTGGTTGTGGGCATCCACAATGTTATCCACCTTTGTTTCCACGTGCCCCGTTCGTGACCCTAGATCATGTAGGTCTCGTTTGATCTCGGCCACACTTTCCTGCCAGGTGGCTATCAGTTTAGTGGATTGTTTGTCCAGGGCTGCCTGTAGGAGCGAGGCTGTAAGCCCCACTTCTGTCTGTGTGTCTAGATCTGAGCGGGGGCTACTCCCACCGGAATACCCAGCGCCATCTTGAAGGCCTGGGTCAGTGTGTTGCAAGGCTGGTGGTCTTTTTTGGGCGAAAAAATTCATTTTATCACCTTTGTCGGTGTGTCTCCGTGTCTTGGAGTGCGGCATGGTGGCAAGTGTGGCTGTTTGTCCCAGGTGTGTGCCGGATTGTGTTGGATTGCCTGGCTCGTGTTGCGGAGCTCAGAGCTCAAGCGGCCATCTTGCTTCGCGGTCAGGACATGCCCCCCCTTGATTCTGTATTTTTAAATTATTTTTGGATTATTTTTTACTTGTTTGCTCTCCTGGTGTTCCTCCTCTCTGTTTTTTGAAAGTGGTCCAGCAATGAAATTGTTTAAGGGATTATTAGGATTGTTGACGTCCTGTTGTTTGCACTGAGTAACATTTGTTTCACTGCAAACACAGAGAGTGATTTGTAGATTGTTTCCTATCCGTTTCATTGCTGGACGCTCTTAAACAATTCTTATAAGGAACACTGATAGGAGCTCATTATATCAGAATCGTGTTTGGCACACTATGGTGGTTAACTCCTCGTCTCCATAAAAATGCAGAGTAAATAAAGATCCAAGGGAAAACGTGCAAGAATTAACACTGATGAATGATTGAAACAAAAAGCTCCATATTGGAGCTTCATCACTAAACAAAGAATTGTGCAAAGCTCAAAAGGGAATTACAGATATTAGGCCAAAATATCGGGAAAACCAGCTGAGCTGGAGAAGTTACAGTTCTACTATTTTGTCTTGTGTGAAGTTGAAAAGCTGTTTAGTTGCACATTGCCCGCAGCCTGCGCGATCTGCACTTTGTCTCTGTCCTCAGTTTAGCAGGTTAGCTGAATCAGCCTGAAGCACGAGCCTTGGGCCCTTTCTGCCATGTGTGCTCTCTGACCCGGGGGGATCCTGTAAATAGAGTGCAGAGAGGCCGGATCGGTTTCACACTATCCTGACCTCCTTGGGTGGGTCACAGACCCCCAGACCCTGGAAAAGAAATTAACTTGTCATATAGAGTCAGGTGCGGAATGGGTAGACACTCAATACAGCGTTTTGCTGTCACAGCATTCCGTAAATAGGAGGATCCACATAGTCCTATAGACCATGAGTAGAACCAGGATCTAATCAATGGTGTCCAAAATCCCAGGACCAGTCATTCTGCTCCATTGGGCCAGAATCCTGCTAGCACCCCAAGATTTAACATGATGTATACCATGATATATACTATATATATATGTAACCACAGCCCACCTGTTCCCCCCTCTATTAAAGCACGCCGAGGTTACTCCTGATACAATAATGAATGGATAGAAAACATATGTGTTGGTTGGAGTGACCCTCCCTAGCCTGGTGTGCACCCGCTCAACTGAAAACACACAAACAATAACACAAAAAAACTGCTCCAACCTACCCGTGTCACAGCACTGAGGCCAAGTTCTCCCATAAGGTTGTTTGGTTCCAACATGCTAAGCGTACCGGTGCCAGGCGCCAATGCTCAGAATTGATATTATAAGTTCCAGGATGGCTAATGACACCCAATTGTGCTGCCGGTGGTGAAAAGCTGTGCATACAGACTCCAGGCACCATGACAACTGCAAATCACTGAAGTGGTTATGGTGCTTTAAGTAACCCTTTAAATATCAAGCCATACATTTCGACTGTACATTGAACGGTGTTTAGTAAGAAAGTAGGCAATGCATTGTGTGCCCATTCAGGGAGGCATGTCAGCCCAGTAATATCTTAAACATGCTACTGCATTTATGATTCATTTTCTTCAATGTCCTGAAAACCAGGGCACCAAAGGAACAATTTGATTTGGTGGAACTTGGTATCAGCAGAGACCTGGCAAATGTGAGATGCTTCACAAAGACTGTGAGAAGTTCTAGTTAAAGGGACACTATAACAAAAACAAAGGATATCAGAACGGACAAAAGCTTAGAGAAACTCAGTCACTAAAGTCTCAAAATAGTTTGTGCCCACTTGTGCCATTACAGAGAGAACATATCTGTAACATATGAAATGGCTCCCACCCATACGGGCAGTCCAGATCTGAAATGTCAGCAAGTTTCCTCTGCACAAGAGATACAGTAGACAATAGTTTTGGCCTTCTTTGGGCTTCCTCAGTAAGGTGTAGCTGATTGTGTCCGAATTACCCTTTTAACTTGGGGAGAGCCAAGTTAATCCATTGCAACACAAACAAAGAATATGATAACTCTGAGAACAGACACAAGCTTAGAGAAACTCAGCAGTTTGCCGTCGGTTATTCTCCGCTCAGGTCTCAAAATAGTTTTTGCCCACTTGTGCCATTTCAGAGAGAACATATTTTGAAGCATATCATACTGATTCCACCCGTAAGGGCAGTCCAGAACAGGAATATGAGAACCTCACTGAATGAAATGGCACCACAAATATTTTGAGACCTGAGCAGCGACTAACTGAAGGGCAAACTGCTGAGTTTCTCTAAGCTTGTGTCTGTTCTCAGATTTCTCATATCAATTGTTTTTGTTGTAAAGGGGCACTATAGTCACAAAAAAAACTTTAGCTAGTGAATCAGTTTTGGTGTATAGATCAAGACCCTGCAGGCTCAATGCCCGATTATCTGCCATTTAAAAGTTAAATCACTTTGTTTTAATTAGCCGTAGCCACACCTCCCTGCATGTGACTTACACAGCCTTCCATAAACACTTCCTGTAAAGAGTCATCTCATGTTTATACTTCCTTTATTACAAAGTCTGTTTAATTTAGAATTTCTTCTCTCCTGCCCTGTTAATAGCCTGTTAGACCCTGCAGGAGCCTCCTGTGTGAGATTAAATTTTAATTTACAGAGCAGGAGGTAAAAACTTCTAAAGTAAACATTGTGCTGTAAGGCCTGATTGAAAATTAAAACATTTTGTTTTCATGCAGGCTGTGTCAGTCAGAGTCAGGGGAGGTGTGGCTGTTACTGACACAAACAGAAACAAATGTGATTTATAGGAACACTATAGTCACCTAAGTTACTTTAGCTAAATAAAGTAGTTTTAGTGTATAGATCATTCCCCTGCCATTTCACTGCTCAATTCACTGTCATTTAGGAGTTAAATCACTTTGTTTCTGTTTATGCAGCCCTAGCCACACCTCCCCTGGCTATGATTGACAGAGCCTGCATGAAAAAAAAAAACTGGTTTCACTTTCAAACAGATGTAATTTACCTTAAATAATTGTATCGCAATCTCTAAATTGAACTTTAATCACATACAGGAGGCTCTTGCAGGGTCTAGCAAGCTATTAACATAGCAGGGGATAAGAAAATCTTAATTAAACAGAACTTGCAATAAAGAAAGCCTAAATAGGGCTCTCTTTACAGGAAGTGTTTATGGAAGGCTGTGCAAGTCACATGCAGGGAGGTGTGACTAGGGTTCATAAACAAAGGGATTTAACTCCTAAATGGCAGAGGATTGAGCAGTGAGGCTGCAGGGGCATGTTCTATACACCAAAACTGCTTCATTAAAGTAAAGTTGTTCAGGTGACTATAGTGTCCCTTTAACTCCTAAATGGCAGAAAATTGAGCAGTGAGATGGCAGGGGCATGATATATACACACAAAGTGCTAAAGTTGTTTTTGTGCTTGGAATATCCCTTTAATGATTCATTAAATCAGCTTGATCATTCTGATTCTGCATCCTTATAAAAGTGTGTCCTTTACAGCAAAATACACGACAGGCAATTAAATAAACACTTAGTCTTGCCTCCCCTTACCTCTTTAACCAAAAACTGTCTACCGCCCTTTGTATAAAATAATAATGTTTTCATTTTCCAGATGTGATTTTGGGAAGTCGAAGATGACAGAGTAACATTATTTAACAAGCATGGAATCGGCTACAGATATTGGGTTTCAAAGAAGTCATTTTCTCAATCTATTATTAATACATCCAATCCCCCGTGCAGCGAGAATTACTCTGATTCTAATCTTATGCCAAGATCCTTCTTCTTCCACACACAGCCTCAATGACCTGACAGCTTAATTCATGTATCTTACTTTGCTACCAAGAAAACAGATAATACCGCAAGAAGCACAATTAAATGTGCTTCATCTATTGTCATAAAGTGTTAATACACTTCCTTAGTGTCCAAACAGAAGCACTTTACTCTAACTGGCCTCGATGGGGCTTAGACATCTTCTACTGACTTTAGACCAACACCCGAGACAGGCTGCACACCCAGGAACTTAATGTCCCACACAAGGGGGTAAAATAAAATCACCAAGGCAGGGCCTTATCCCAAACATATGTTAGAGTTTAGTGATCATTAGACCCCACGTTGTACAGATCCACAGAATAAGCACGAACCTTCTAAATGAAGAAGATGTTATCAGAGAGGCAGCCTTGGGGTCGCCCTTGAGTTGATAAACTACTACTATATTTATGAAACATAAAATGGCTGGTTTTTTTCTTGGCGTTATTGGTTTATTACATTTTATTAAACATAATGCTATATTTAAACAATTTATATTGATCTTCTTTTATGAGAAAATTCTAGTTCCATTTTTTTTTATCTGGCTGAGCGGCCATGTTGGGTCAGACTTTACCATTCTCTGACCAACTGATGCTCTGCTCATCCTAACTTGCTCCTACGGCTGGTTCACACACAGCAATCAAGTCAGCAGACACGTTAGGTTGAGCAGCAGTTGCTCAGATGATAAAAAGTTAAATTTGCTCCAAAAAATCAATATGCATCATTAAAAAAATTAAAACATAGAAACATAGAATGTGACGACAGATAAGAACCATTCGGCCCATCTAGTCTGCCCAATTTTCTAAATACTTTCATTAGTCCCTGGCCTTATCTTATAGTTAGGATAGCCTTATGCCTATCCCACGCATGCTTAAACTCCTTTACTGTGTTAACATCTACCACTTCAGCTGGAAGGATATTCCATGCATCCACTACCCTCTCAGTAAAGTAATACTTCCTGATATTATTTTTAAACCTTTGTCCCTCTAATTTAAGACTATGTCCTCTTGTTGTGGTAGTTTTTCTTCTTTTAAATATAGTCTCCTCCTTTACTGTGTTGATTCCCTTTATGTATTTAAATGTTTCTATCATATCCCCCCTGTCTCGTCTTTCCTCCACGTTATACATGTTAAAG